TTCTCCAAGCATTCCTGTCTTCCCATTATGTGGCCAAAGAACTTCATCTTTACTTCAGAGAGTTTCATCTACGCTGATGATCATACCATCACCGCTCAAGCAGGGAACTTTGAAATGGTTGAACAGAAGTTCTCCATTTTCCCCAGCATCATTGTCTTCTTCAAGCTATCCTGTCTTCCCATTATGTAGCCAAAGAACTTCATCTTTACTTCAAAGAGTTTCATCTATGCTGACGATCATGCCATTAACGCTTGAGTAGGGAGCTTCGAAATGGTTGAACGGAAGCTCTCCATTTCCCCCAGCATCATTCTCTTCTCCAAGCTTTCCTGTCTTCTCATTATGTGGCCAAAGAACTTCATCTTTACTTCAGAGAGTTTCATCTACGCTGACGATCATGCCATCACCACTCAAGCAGAAAGCTTTGAAATGGTTGAATAGAAGCTACCCAAAGCTTTAGGTCAGTGGTCCAGATCCATCATTGTTTGAGTCCACAGTGTTTTCTGGATGTAGGTGAACTACAACTCCAAAACTCAAGGTCAATGCCCACCAAACCCTACCAGTATTTTCTCTTGTTTGTGGGAGTTCTGTGTGCCGAGTTTGGTTCAATTCTATCCTTGGTAGAGTTCAGAATACTTGTAGGTGAACTATACATCCCAGCAACTACAACTCCCAAATGTCAAACTCCACCAGTGTTCACATTTGGGCATATTGAGCATATAGAGTTGGACCACTCTAACCACGACCATGTCAAACTACACAGAGAAGCCATTGAAATGGACAGTTCTGCACCCACAGATTCTCCTGGAGATCTTTGGCCATTCTAGGTCTTCTCTCCATTGTATCTCGATCAAGTTCTCTGAAAGCTTTGCATAGATCTGAGACTTCGGAACCAGTTTGTGCGCCTGAAGACGGAGGTTGCGGAGATGCTTCCTGCCACCTTGCATATTGCGTTCGCCCTCCTTCCTCTCTGCAGAGGAGTCATTGCTTTTGACGGCTGCACTGTACTGTGCCATCGCAAAGCTCACCAAACACACATTTCCTAATCCGTGTGTATCTAGGTTGGGTAAACAGTCCTTGAAAGGAGCAAAGGGAGGAATTCCAGCAATGCCTTGCCCACTGTTGTGCCAGCAACACACCTCCAAGTCGATGCGGAGTGTTGTTTTTGTAACTCGTGGGCCTTGGAAGTCTAGGTTCAGAAGATGCACTTGTTGCTTCGATGGTGCTTAATTGCTGAATTTAGATGGGTGTAAAGGAATCTCATTGTCTGGAGGTCCAGATCCTAAACCCTGACACGGCTGAGTTAATGATCTACACCTGCACTTGGCAGCCATTGAATTCAGGGCATGTTAAAAGCAGAGGGAAACAAATCTATAAAGGAGGATAGCGGGTTAATCTGGGTGTCCTTGGAAGGTATGCTTTGGCCACGCTGGTCCTGCAGTTTGGGGATTTGGAAAGGCTGTAATCCAAAAATAACACCCCCCCCCCCAAATCCACCCTCTAAGGGCAGTTGGCCCCATGAAGGGAATCAAGGCCCTTTCCTTCATTTTGTAGTTTAAGGGCCTTTGGAGGAAGGAGGGAGAAAAGAAGAGTGGAGCAACAGAGGCCGCCACTTTTTGGTTTCTAAACTGCCTACAGGCCTTTGGAGAAAGAAAGAAAGAAAGAAAGAAAGAAAGAAAGAAAGAAAGAAAGAAAAGAAAGAAGAAAGAAAGAAAGAAAGAAGAAAGAGAAAGGAGAGAGGAGAGAAAGGAAGGAGAAAGGAAGGAAAGAAAGAAAGAAAGGGAAAGAAGAAGGAAGGAAGGAAAGAAAAAAAGAAGGAAGGAAGGAAAGAAAGAAGGAAGGAAGGAAGGAAAGAAAAAAGAAGGAAGGAAAGAAAGAAGGAAGGAAGGAAGGAAGGAAAGAAAGAAAGAAAGAAAGAAAGAAAGAAAGAAAGAAAGAAAGAAAAAGAGGAGGAGGAGAGAGGAAGGAAGGAAGAAGGAGAAAGAAAGAAAAGGAAAGGAAGGAAAGGAAGGAGAAGAAGAAGGAAAAGAAAGAAAAAGAAAGGAAGAGGGGAGGGAGGGAGGGAGGGAGGGAGGAGAAGGAAAGAAGGAAGGAAGGAAGGAAGGAAAGGAGGAAGGAAGGGAAAGAAAGAAAGGAAGGAAAGGAGGGAGGGAGGAAGGAAGGAAGGGAAAGAAAGGAGGAAGGAAGGAAGGAAGGAAGGAAGGAAGGAAGGAAGGAAAGAAGGAAGGAAGGAAGGAAGGAAAGGAGGAAGGAAGGGAAAGAAAGAAAGGAAGGAAAGGAGGGAGGGAGGAAGGAAGGAAAGGAAAGAAAGGAGGAAGGAAGGAAGGAAGGAAGGAAGGAAGGAAGGAAGGGAAAGAAAGGAAGGAAAGGAGGGAGGGAGGAAGGAAGGAAGGAAGGGAAGGAAGAGGAAGTAAAAAGAAAGAAAGAAGGAAGGGAAGGAAGAAAGACTCTGGGAGGGAGGGAGGGGGGGGGAAGAATGAGGACCCTTCCACACAGATGTATAAAATCCACACTGAATTGGATTATATGGCAGTGTGGATTCAGACAGGTAATCCAGTTCAAAGCAGGTATTGTGGATTATCTGCCTTGATATTCTGGGGTATGTGGCTGTGTCGAGAGGCTGTGAAAGACTACAACCCCTTCTACACTGTCCTATATCCCAGGATCTGATCCCAAATTATCTGCTTTAAACAGGATTATATGAGTCTCCACTGTCAGATAATCTGGGATAAAAAGATAATCTGGGATCAGATCCTGGGATATAGGGCAGTGTGATCAGTTATAGAGCATCCATCCAGGTTGGGAAGTCTGACTTGGCCACGGTGTTTCACGCTCTGGTTATATCCCGTATAGACTACTGCAATGCACTCTACATGGGGTTGCCTTTGAAGACTGTTCGGAAGCTTCAATTAGTCCAACGAGCGGCAGCCAGATTGCTAACAGGAGTGGGGTACAGGGAGTATACGACTCCTCTGTTACGCCAGCTCCACTGGCTGCTGATTAGCTTCCGAGCACAATTCAAAGTGCTGGTCTTGACCTATAAAGCCCTAAACGATTGTTTAGCAACTACAACTCCCAAATGTGAAGGTCTATTTCCCCCAATCTCGGCTGATGTTCACATTTGGGCATATTGAGTATCTGTGCCAAGTTTGGTGCAGATCCATCATGGCTTGGGTTCACAGTGCTTTCTGAATGTAGGTGAACTACAACTCCTAAACTCAAGGTCAATGCCCACCAAATCCTTCCAGTATTTCCTGTTTAGCAACTACAACTCCCAAATGTGAAGGTCTATTTCCCCCAATCTCGGCTGATGTTCACATTTGGGCATATTGAGTATCTGTGCCAAGTTTGGTGCAGATCCATCATGGCTTGGGTTCACAGTGCTTTCTGAATGTAGGTGAACTACAACTCCAAAACTCAAGGTCAATGCCCACCAAATCCTTCCAGTATTTCCTGTTTAGCAACTACAACTCCCAAATGTGAAGGTCTATTTTCTCTTATCTCCACCAATGTTCACATTTGGGCATATTGAGTATCTGTGCCAAGTTTGGTGCAGATCCATCATGGCTTGGGTTCACAGTGCTTCCTGAATGTAGGTGAACTACAACTCCTAAACTCAAGGTCAATGCCCACCAAATCCTTCCAGTATTTCCTGTTTAGCAACTACAACTCCCAAATGTGAAGGTCTATTTCCCCCAATCTCGGCTGATGTTCACATTTGGGCATATTGAGTATCTGTGCCAAGTTTGGTGCAGATCCATCATGGCTTGGGTTCACAGTGCTTTCTGAATATAGGTGAACTACAACTCCTAAACTCAAGGTCAATACCCAGTTTACCTGACGGAACGGATTCTCCCCTATGAACCATCAAGGTTACTAAGATCTTCCGGAGGGGCCCTGCTCTTGGTCCCACCACCTTTGCAATCGCGTCTTGTGGGGACGAGGGACAGGGCCTTCTCGGTGGTGGCTCCTCGGCTTTGGAATTCCCTCCCACCAGAGATTAGATCTGTTCCCTCCCTCCTGACCTTTAGAAAACTAATAAAAACCTGGCTTTGGAATATGGCATTGGAGGATTGAGTCAATAACCCTTGTCCACATGGAAGGATGGCGACGAATTGTGACTGTATTGACGACTTGGCTTGTGTCATGTGATGATGATGTTTTTATTGTACTCATATTTTAATGTATAATGGTGATGTATTGTGCTGTTTTGTATATTACTGTATTTGAACACATGTTGCGAACCGGCCTGAGTCCCTCCTCGGAGGTGAGAAGACCGGTATATAAAACTTCTAAATAAATAGATAAATAAATCCAGATTATCCACTTCAAACTGGATTATATGGCAGTGTAGACTCAGTGGGCCCCCGGTGGCGCAGTGGGTTAAAGCACTGAGCTGCTGAGCTTGTTGATCGAAAGGTCGCAGGTTCAAATTCCGGGGAGCGGCGTGAGCTTCCGCTGTCAGCCCTAGCTTCTGCCAACCTAGCAGTTCGAAAACATGCAAATGTGAGTAGATCAATAGGTACCGCTCCGGCGGGAAGGTAACGGCGCTCCATGCAGTCATGCCGGCCGCATGACCTTGGAGGTGTCTACGGACAACGCTGGCTCTTCGGCTTAGAAATGGAGATGAGCACCACACCCCAGAGTCAGACATGACTGGACTTAATGTCAGGGGACTACCTTTACCTTTTTTTTAGATTAACATAATCCAGTTCAAAGTGGATAATCCGGATTTTATGTGGCAGTCTCGGCCCCTCCCACATTGTACGGTGGTGTAGAAGGGGCCTAGGCCCATCGCGCACTCAGCTCCATGTTTCAACACAGTCGAACCAAAGGAAGCAATCGATTGCTGCCTTCTTCCACCATTAGCCTATTGAGGCCGTGGCCTCATTCTGCCTAATGGAAGGACCGGCTCCACTTTGGAAGCTGATTGCACCAGGTGACTTTGGACCACTGTTGTGGCGCAACGCATTCTGGGAAGCATTAGCGGTTAATGTTTCCAGGATGCTGCTCTCCAGCGAAGGTCGATCCACGTCAGCTCCCAAGAGGGAGGAAAGCGAGCAGCGCACAAGCACGACCCGTAACTTTGCCTCCGTGCCGTTGAACCTGGCAGCGCTCCTTTTGCCCTCCCATTAAAATGCCTGCTGGCTTCTCCCAAGTGGGTCAATAAGGTATCATTAGAGCGTCTCATCGGACGGCCCCAGAACGAAAACAACAAGACCACAGCAGGTTGATATATCTATTATTGTTTTGGCAGGGGATGGGAATAAGAGGGCGGGATTGAGAGTAAATTGTTGTTTACCTTTTTTCCGGGACCGAGGCAAGAAAATAAAAGGATTTCCCGATGTGCATTTGGTTTCAGATACGAGAAAACCATGAGGACTAGCGGCGGGGTGCTCCTCCTGTTCCTTCTGCAGCTGAGTTCGCCTCATGTCTTAGAATGGACGTACAATGGTAAGGAATATATGGGAATGGGTGGATGAATGAACGGGAGACACGGAATAATGTTCCCTGTTTTTGGACATCTACTGCTTCCCTTGCTAACAGAATGTCAACAGAGATACAAATTAGGGATGGAACCCAAAACACCCCTGTGGCTGAGGCCAATAGAAGCCATTGGGAGACCCACCTGCAAGGATGATGTCAGAACATTGGTTCCGATATCATCAATTATACGAAAGATTCAAAAAAGATGAGAAGAGGGGATTTGCTTCAAAAAAACCAGATCTGGAAACTATATTAGATAAAGGGGAAAAAGGCTTAATAGCCAGATTATACAAATATATTCTACACTATAATTTGGAAGATAATCGTGTTAAAACCCCCATGATCTCATGGGCAAAAGATTTAGGGAGAAGCATAGATTTGGACATTTGGGAAAACCTGTGGGCCATCCAGTCCAACCCCATTCTGCCAAGAAGCAGGATATTGCATTCAAATCACCCCTGACAGATGGCCATCCAGCCTCTGTTTAAAAGCTTCCAAAGAAGGAGCCTCCACCACACTCCGGGGCAGAGAGTTCCACTGCTGAACGGCTCTCACAGTCAGGAAGTTCTTCCCCATGTTCAGATGGAATCTCCTCTCTTGTAGTTTGAAGCCATTGTTCTGCGTCCTAGTCTCCAGGGAAGCAGAAAACAAGCTTGCTCCCTCCTCCCTGTGGCTTCCTCTCACATATTTATACATGGCCATCAGCCTTCTCTTCTTCAGGCTAAACATGCCCAGGTCTTTAAGCCGCTCCTCATAGGGCTTGTTCTCCAGACCCTTGATCATTTTAGTCGCCCTCCTCTGGACACATTCCAGCTTGTCAATATCTCTCTTGAATTGTGGTGCCCAGAATTGGACACAATATTCCAGATGTGGTCTAACCAAAGCAGAATAGAGGGGTAGCATGACTTCCTTAGATCTAGACACTATGCTCCTATTGATGCAGGCCAAAATCCCATTGGCTTTTTTTGCCGCCACATCACATTGTTGGCTCATGTTTAACTTGTTGTCCACGAGGACTCCAAGATCTTTTTCACATGTACTGCTCTTGAGCTAGGTGTCCCCCATTCTGTATCTTTGCATTTCGTTTTTTCTGCCTAAGTGGAGTATCTTGCATTTGTCACTGTTGAACTTCATTTTGTTAGTTTTGGCCCATCTCTCTAATCTGTCAAGATCGTTTTGACTCTTGCTCCTGTCCTCTGGAGTATTGGCTCTCCCTCCCAATTTGGTGTCGTCTGCAAACTTGATGATCCTGCCTTCTAGCCCTTCATCTAAGTCATTAATAAAGATGTTGAACAGGACCGGGCCCAGGACGGAACCCTGTGGCACTCCACTTGTCACTTCTTTCCAGGATGAAGAGGAAGCATTAGTGAGCACCTTCTGGGTTCGTCCCTTTAACCAATTCCAGATCCACCTCACCGTAGTTTTGCCTAGCCCACCTTGGACTAGTTCTCATGGGCAAAAGATTTAGGGAGAAGCATAGATTTTGACATCTGGGAAAACCTGTGGAACAATGGATTTAAATTTACAGTGGCAGCTTCAATTAGAGATAATGTATATAAAATGTTCTACAGATGCTACATAACTCCAGCCCTCCTAGCCAAAACGGACAACTCACAAACAGGATCCTGTTGGAGATGCAAAAGAAAGAAAGGGACTTTCTTTCACGTATGGTGGTCGTGCGAACTGGTGCAGATCTATTGGAAAAGAATAATAAAGGAAACAAATAAAATGATTTACAACAAAGTAAAAAAGAACCCAGGGATGTGCCTATTAGGGATATTCAGAGACAGTTTAGAACAACCAGAGAGAGAAATTTGTTTGTACAGCTTTGCGGCTGCAAGGTCAATGCCCACCAAACCCTTCCAGTATTTTCTCTTGGTCATGGGAGTCCTGTGTGTGATGTTTGGTTCAATTCCATCATTGGTGGAGTTCAGAATGATCTTTGATTACCGGTGAACTATACATCCCAGTAACTAAAACTCCCAAATGTCAAAGTCTATTTTCCCCAAACTCCACCAGTGTTCATATTTGGGCATATTGAGTATTCATGCCAAGTTTGGCCAAAATCCATCCATGTTTGAATCCACAGTGCACTTTGGATGTAGGTGAACTACAACACCAAAACTCAAGGTCATTGCCCACCAAACCCAGTATTTTCTGTTGGTCATGGGAGTTTTATGTGCCAAGTTTGTTTCAATTCCATCGTTGGGGGAGTTCAGAATGCTCTTTGATTGTAGGTGAACTATAAATCCCAGCAACTACAACTCCCAAATGTCAAAATTAATCCCCCCAACCCCAAATTTGGTCCAGTGATGAAAATACATCCTGCATATCAGATATTTACATAATAACAGTAGCAAAGTTGCAGATATGAAGTAGCAATAACAATAATTTTTTGCTTGGGGGTCACCACAACATGAGGAACTGCATTAAGGGGTCGTGACATTAAGAAGGTTGAGAACCACTGGTTTAGAACAACCAGAGAGAGAAATCTGTTTGTACAGCTTTGCGGCTGCACGCATTACAATTGCCAAAAATTGGAAAGGGGAGAAAACATTAAGCATCAAAGATTGGAAGGATAAATTGTGGGATTATGCACAGATGGCTAAGATTTCAAGCAATTTGAAATATGAAAATAATGAAATATTTGAAAGAAACTGGAAGCTGGCCTTAGCATACTTGACGGGAGAGCTAAAGAAATAAAAACAAGAGGAATTTATTGAATTACAAGTATAGAGGGTTAAATAAGTTGTGCATAAATCCTGCGTGGATTAGTGACGGAAGTCAAGGTGGTGGGTAGCACTGGGGGTGGGTGGAGGGGTAACTGTATGGAGGGTTGTTTGTGTATGTGTGTTTGTTTGTGTTGTTGTTGTTGTTCATTCGTTCAGTCGTCTCCGACTCTTCGTGACCTCATGGACCAGCCCACGCCAGAGCTCCCTGTCGGCCGTCACCACCCCCAGCTCCTTCAAGGTCAGTCCAGTCACTTCAAGGATGCCGCCCATCCATCTTGCCCTTGGTCGGCCCCTCTTCCTTTTGCCTTCCACTTTCCCCAGCATAATTGTCTTCTCTAGGCTTTGCTGTCTCCTCATGATGTGGCATTCAAAGGACTTCAACTTTGTCTCTAGTATCTTTCCCTCCAGTGAGCAGTCGGGCTTTATTTCCTGGAGGATGGACTGGTTGGATCTTCTCGCAGTCCAAGGCACTCTCAGCACTTTCCTCCAGCACCACAGCTCAAAAGCATCTCTCTTCCTTCGCTCAGCCTTCCCGAAGGTCCAGCTCTCACATCCGTAGGTGACTACAGGGAAGACCATGGCTTTGACTAGGCAATGGATCTTGGTTGCCAGTCTGATGTCTCTACTCTTCACTATTTTATCGAGACTGGACATTGCTCTCCTCCCAAGAAGTAAGCGTCTTCTGATTTCCTGGCTACAGTCTGCATCTGCAGTAATCTTTGCACCTAGAAATACAAAGTCTGTCACGGCCTCCACGGGCACCTAGAAATACAAAATCTGTCACTGCCTCCATGTTTTCTCCCTCTATTTCCCAGTTGTCAATCATTCTTATTGCCATAATCTTGGTGGTTTTTTATGTTTAACTGCCTTCTTCTTTCACCTTGATTAGAAGGCTCCTCAGCTCCTCCTCGCTTTCGGCCATCAAAGTGGTGTCATCTGCATATCTAAGGTTGTTAATGTTTCTTCCAGCAATTTTCACCCCAGCCTAGCATTCCTCAAGCCCCACACATCGCATGATGTGTTCTGCATACAAGTTGAATAGGTTGGGTGAGAGTATACAGCCCTGTCGTACGCCTTTCCCAATCTTGAACCCGTCTGTTGTTCCGTGGTCAGTTCTGACTGTGGCTCCTTGGTCCTTGCACAGATTCCTCAGGAGAGAGGGAAGGGGGCTTGGGATGCCCATCCCACCAAGAACTTGCCACAATTTATTATGATCCACACAGTCAAAGGCTTTAGAATAGTCAATGAAGCAGAAGTAGATGTTTTTCTGAAACTCCCTGCCTTTCTCCATTCTCCAGCATCCGGATATTGGCAATCTGGTCTCTCGTTCCTCTGCCTTTTCTAAACCCAGCTTGAATATCTGGCAACTCTTGCTCCATGTCTTGCTGGAGTCTTCCTTGCAGGATCTTGAGCATTACCTTACTGGCATGAGAAATAAGGGCCACTGTATGGATCTACTCTACAAGTGGCTAAATCATGTTCCACCCAATAATTTGAATTTGAGGGACAAGAATGGGTACAAACTTTTGAAAATCGGAGTCCAAGAGCTGCCTATAATCAGATACTAAAGACACTCAACAATAATTTATATTCTGTCACATCATTCCTTTTAAGAAACCAAAGACCTTTCTTTACGTACTGAGATGGAGAAGGGTGCATAACAATGCCACCTAGTGGCATCATTATTGCAAAGGACACTTAAAAGACTTAAAAGACTTAATCAAAATGCTGTTAGCCACTCTGGTCAAGCAGGATAAAAATCCCAGAGCCAAATGAGTGTGTTTTTTTAATTCAGTATGTAAGCTTTGCCATTGACTATACTATTTCTTTGGGTGGTTGCTTCAGTAAAGGATAATATGTCTATCTAGGTCTTCTTACTTAGTCAGCAGTCTTGTAAAATCTCGAAACGGAATACTTGCAGTCTTTGAGTATTTTCAAACGTGCTTGAAATGATGCTTCCTTTGGTTAGGTTTGTGACACAAATATAAAATTGGCATTGCCCATAATGGTTATCCAGATTGTAAATGATACATCACCTTTCTTTCTGCGTTAACACTAAATCAATAAATATCAGAGTATAGGTAACCCGTGACTGCCTTCAGCTCATTTCCAAACCCCTCTGGAATGGTTACTTATTTATTTCATGTCAAAAGCATTGCATAAATAAGTATAAAACTGATAAAATAGAGGGAACACAAGTAGTTAAATAATTTTAGACCAAAAATGGGCAACAGCAACC